AGAATGGGCTCTGCAAGGATTTAGGTCCCCCAAGTGGAGAAACTAAGACTCAGAATGAGCAAAATCAGCTTGTCATGCAACTTATTGATGTCAAAGTTGCAGCGATCACAGTCCCTCCACTCCTGGGTGGTCATGGAGTTCGTGAAATATCTGGTGGGAACAGAATTTGCAACCCAAAGAACTGGGTGCCTGCTGTCTGGTGAAAACATGTAAATCCTTAGTAATACACTTTATTTGAAAATTAAGCATGTCAATATTTAAAGTACAAGTTTTTTGATTTTTAAAACTTAGATTCTGTAGTCCTACCCTTAGTAATTGATAGACAATCATGAAATGCATAAAGATGTGGATCAGTCAATTGACAGAGGATGTGGAATATTATTACATTATTACTTATATAAAATAACTTGGAGATCACCTGAATATTCAGAGAAAATGTGGAATGTCATACAGCCATTTCAAATGGCCACCTTGCACAGATATATCTTTATGATATATTTGCCAGGTGTAGTGGCACATGCCTGTAGTCCTATCAGCTCCGGAGGCTGAGGGAGGAGGATCACAAGTTCAAGGCCAGCCTCAACAACTTAGTGAGGCTCTAAGCAACTAAGAAAAACCCTGTCTCAAAATAAAAAATGAAAAGGGCTGGGGATGTGACTCAGTGGCTAAACACCCTTGGGGTTCAATCCCTGATACCAAAATAAATAAATAAATAAATCTTTATGATGTGTTTGATTTATACCCAAGTGAAATGGAGTGAAATACATATAAATTTGATTTGATGTAAATTTTATTTATATATATATATTAAATGATACATATATGTGAATATGTCTGGAAGAGAAATATTTCAAAATATTTACCTACTATTTAAAAGTGATATTAAGAATAAGTTTTCCCTCTTTGTTTTATCTTCACTTTCTTGTTTTTCTTCAGCTAAGTTTATAACAATATCAATATCATTTAATAAGCATTTACTCTGTGCTAATCACCAGTTCAAGTGCTTTATTTATGTTTCCTTAGTGAATCCTGGTAACAATTTGGGGAGAAGATCCTACAGATTGAAAATCTCTATTCCAAAAATCTGAAATCTGGAATGTTCCCAAATCCAAAACTTTTCGAGAGTTGACATGGCACTCAAAAGATTTCGGATTTGGAGTTTTCAGATTAGGGATTAGGGTAAAATATATGCAAATATTGCAAAATCTGGAAAGAAAAAAAAACCCAATGCTTGGTCCCAAGCATTTTGGATGAGATACTGAATCTTCCTCATTTTTTTAGGCATGAAAGTAACAAAACACTCAACTCAAACTGGCTTAAGCAAAGAGAAAGGATTAATTAGCTAATATCAATGGAAAACCAGGATTGGCTTCCTGCAGGAGCCCGAAATTTGTCCACCAATCTGAGGGTTCTCCTGGCAGCTCCACCCTTGGACATCCAGCTCCATTTGGGAGTGGAGGGTCCTTGAAGATCTCTGCTCACCTCCCCGCAGCTGTGAGGCCGTGGAGAGATGAGCTTCAAGCAAAAGCCCAGTTACTCTACTGGATGGCTGCTGGTTCTCCCAAAGCCAAAATAAAATCAGGCTCATGGATCCTGGAAGGAGGATAAAATAAAACCATCCACCACGATTATCATTTGCAACTTGCTAGTGAGGAAACTAGAGTTCAGAAATAGGAAATAACTTCTAACGAAGTCCAACAGAGAGTGAGGTGGCCAGGACTTGAACCTGCGTTGTCTAACTCCAAAGACATACATTTATTAACTGCTTGAACCTGTTTCCTATGATCATTTGTACAGTATTTTGATTCATTTTGGAATAAAATAGAATCAGAAGCCCCCCTTAGTGGGCTGGTGGTGCCCGGCTGCTTAAACTGGACTGGATTAGAGCATCCCTGAGACGCCATGCCCAGCACCTCCAGCCAAGACGGTGGCAGCCTGCAGGCACTTTGCAAGTCCCGTGTTGTCCCTCCCTCAAGACGAGGTGTCAAGAGCAGCTCTGAGACCGGCAATGGCAAGGGCAGCTGGGAGGAGAGAGAGGGAGTCCCAACACAGTTAATGATAATAACGGCTAAGTTTATTGGTGGCTTATCACGTGTCAGGCACTGTGCTGTGAACTCCTCCCGGCTGCCCGGGGAGGTGGGCACAGTTGCTGCCCTGTGTTACAGATGAGGGACTGCAGCAGAGGGGCCAAGTTCCTGGTCAAGGTCACACAGCCATCTCAGTGGAGCAGGGCTGAGGCTGAGGTCTCAGGTTCTGCTGCCTGCCCGGCAGCAGCTCCTCTCTGCAGACAAGAGGGAATTCTGGTGGCACCTGTGGAGATCAGAACTGGAAGAAAGTGGATGTGCTGAGGACGCAGCTCCCCGTATTTAAGGGCTGAGGACGGCAGATGCCCCCCGGCTAATGTCCTCTCCACATTTTCCTGGCATTTGCTGGGGAAGGGTTACGCAATCAGAGCGAAGAAACAGAGCTCTGTCTCCAGGGCTGCTGAATATTCTTCCTGTTGCGAGTGCAGCCTTAATCTTGAGTTTATAATTATTTTATACGGTGAAGGATGACATCACTGGTGAAAGTAAATCCAAACCCTAAGTAGACACTTAGGCTTAAGTGGATGTTCAATTAGGAAAATGTTCATGATAGATTGTTAGTGATCTTCTTAAAAATGCAAACGGCATATCATATATATATGATCCAAATGCTTTTTGAAAAGACTAGCCATATATAAGGAAGACCAAAGGAATAAACAAAAAGACTAACTCTGAAAGCCGGTATTATGATTATTTTTATGTTCTCATTTTCTACACTTACCAAATTTTCTATAACAAAGTACATTATATTCATAATTTAAAAGTCATTATAATTTTTACAAATGTTTCCAAGTCTAAGGAGCATAAGGTTCCCATTACCACCTCGAGTTCTGTTTTCCTTTTAACTTCCCAATTCCTTTATTTGTTTTTTCATTCAACAAACACACACTGAGTTCTGCTGAGCTGGGCCGCCAATCAGAGTGGACCAGACGCAGGTTCCCTTGAGGAACTCCTTGTACAGTGGGTGGACAGACAGACAGACAGTCCTAGACCACAGTTGTCTGCCCAGGCATGAGTAGCCCACTAGATGTGAACTCCATGAAGTCAGGACCCTCTGGGTCACCTCTGTACCCCAGTTCCTGGGATAGATGAGTTCATATCCCAGCTTATTTGACTCCAGTTTCCCCTTCTGCAAAACATGAGGGTAATACCCCCCCACAGTGTTGTTGGAAAACTTGGTTAACATGTAGCAAGTCCTTTATACGATACCTGGATATATACTAGACTCTTGTAACAATAGAAATAATGTATTTCAAATTGGGTAGATTGGGGCTGGGGTGTAGCTCAGCAGTGAAGCACTTGCCTCACATGTACACAGCCCTGGGTTCGATCTCCAGCACCCCTCACACACACACAAAACAAACATTGAGGTAGATTATGATGATGTACAAAGTCTGAGTTCAGCTCTCCTCTGCAAATATCTGGAGTTTAACTAGAAGGAAATTTGGTTTATAATTTGGAGAAGAATGTCTAGATTATTCTCACTTTTATCTAAGAAGTACAGAAGCATTTATTAAACTTTAAAATGGATTTAAGTATAAATCAAAATCTTGAAGCAATAAAAATTCGAGGAAGGGCCGGGAGTGCACACCTGTAATCCCATCGGTTCTGGAGACTGAAGCAGGAGGATCTCGAGTTCAAAGTCAGCCTCAACAAAGGCAAGGCACTAAGCAACTCAGTGAGACCCTGTCTCTAAATAAAACACAAAATAGGGCTGGGATGTGGCTCAGTGGTTGAGTGCCCCTGAGTTCAATCCCCAGTACCAATAGGGAATAGGGTAGAAGAGCAGAAAGACTACACATAATATTCCTTGTTTTTAGAAGCTGTTTGGAGACCATATTATAAAATGAGTGAAATATTTGAAAAACTTTTTTTTTTTTTTTTGGTAGCAGTGGGATTGAACTCCATGCTGGGCAAGCACCCTACCACTGAGCCACATCCCCAGGCCAAGAAATTAAACAAAAAAAAAAAAAAAAAAAAAAAAGCCAACTTTTGGCAAGTTGGTACCATAGCACCATAGAGAAGAATTACTCCAAGTGATTTTGAAATAGGAATTTTGACTCAGCTGCAAGGAAAAAAAAAAAAAGGTTAGTACCGTTGGTGTGCAGTGGCCTGAATATTTTGTGTCAGTCCCACTAAAATCCATGTTGGAAGCTAATCTGCAAACTGGTGTCAAGAGGGGGGCCTTTAAGAGGGGATCAGGTCAGGGGGCTGCTCCTTCCTCAGGAACCTGATCGATGGTCTTCCATAAGAGGCTTGAGGGAGCGTAGCTGTCCTTTGTCCTTCCGCCATGCGCGCAGGCAGCTAGAAGTCCCTATCTTGGAAGCAGAGCCTGCGTGCACCTCACTAGATAACAAACCTGTTCCTGCCTTGATCTTGAACTGCCAAGCCCCCAGAACTGTGAGCAATAACCTTCTGTTGCTTTCAAATTACCCAGCCTAAGGTATTTTGTTAGAGCTGCCCCCATGGATGAGGAGATGGGGTTGGTATTAGCTCAGCATGCTGTGCATGTTAAGTGGCTCTCAGCAAATGGAAGCAAAAAGAAAGGTCATTTCTCATAAGACAAAGGACACACAGATGTAAGTCAGACAAAAATACTGTAGTCCTGAATTCAAGTAAGAAGTGTTGTTATGACATCATGATCTAAAAAAAAATAAATCAATACATTTATATTTTGAGCAGTTTTAGGTTTATAGAAAAATTGAGCAGAGGGGCTGGGGAAGGGGCTCAAGCGGTAGCGCGCTCGCCTGGCATGTGTGCGGCCCGGGTTCGATCCTCAGCACCACATACCAACAAAGATGTTGTGTCCGCCGAGAACTAAGAAAAAATAAATAAATGTTAAAATTCTCTCTCTCTCTCTCTGTCCCCCTCTTTCTCTCACTCTCTCTTTAAAAAAAAAGAAAAATTGAGCAGAAAGTACAGTTTCCATATATTCCTTCTCCTCCCTCTCCCCTACTGTTAACTTCTTCCATCAATGTGAGCCAATATTGATACATTATTATTAACTGAAGTTAAATTTTACCTGAGTGTGAACCCTGTGTTTCTATGGGTTTTGACAAATACATAAGGACATTTATCTACCTTATACACTAGTGACCCCTTATCCATGGGATACATTTCAAGAGCCCCAGCAGATACCCGAAACTCCAGATAGTACTGAAATATACACGTGTGTGTGTGTATAAATAATTTTCCCCCCATGAATGCCTATGATAGAGTTTAATTTGTAAATGAATAACTTATAAATTAGGCACAATAAGAAATTAACAGTAATAACTAATAATAAAGTAGAACAATCAGAACAACAGACTGTAATAAAAGTGATATGAATGTGGTCTCTCAAAATATCTTTACTGTGCTCACCCTTCTTGTGATGATGTGTGACGAGACAATGGCTAGTGACAAGATGAAGGGGGGGGTGGTGAATGAAGTAGGCATTGTGGCACAGAGTATTCAAGCACAAGCACTGCAATGCCATGACAGGGAATCTGATCATCACAATGGTGATTAAGTGACTAACCAGTGGGTAGCATATACCGTGTGGATACACTGGACCCAGGGATGATTCATGTCCTGGAGAGAAAAAAATAGGAAAATATGAGATTTCTCAGAATGGAATGCAATTTCAAACTTAAAAAATTGTTTATTTTGGAGAAGTTTCAATTTAATATTTTTGAACTACAGCTGACCATGGGTAACTAAAACTAGGAGCGTAGGGGAGGACTACTGTAGTGTCACACAGAATCCTTTCATTACTCTAAAGATCCCCCATGCTCCACCCTCCTGCCTCCCTCCCAACACCTGACGTCCACTGATTTTTTACTCCCTAGTTTTGCTTTTTCTACAATATCACCTGATTGGAATCATACTCATAGACTTCTTCACCTAGCAATATGTACTCAAGGCCATTTCTTTTTAGAGCTGAATAATGTTGAACTGTCTGGGTGTACCACAGTTAGTTAACCCACTGACCTGTTGAAGGACATCTGGGTTGCTTCCCAGTTTGGGAATCAGGACTCATGATGTATTTGATCTTTTTTTTTTTTTTTAATTTATTTCAAGCCAGGCACAGTGGTGCACATCTATGATCCCAAGTACTGGGGAGGGTGAGGTCAGAGAGTCACAAGTTCAAGGCCAGCCTCAGCAGCTTAGCAAGACCTGTTCAAGATTTAAAAAAATCAATAAATAAAAATTAAAAGGCTGGGGATGCAGTTGAGTGACAGAGTACCCCTGGGTCCGACCCCCAATGCCAGAGTAAACAGTGCATTTCCCGCTCTCCTCACTGAAAATCCCAGAGACCATGACCAACCCGATAGCAGAAAACGGTGCTTAAACCTAACTGTGGTCTCTGCACCCTATTCCTCAGTCAAGGAAGCCGAGACTCCTTTGAGAAATGACGCACGCCTGTAATCCCAGTGGCTCAGAAGGCTGAAGCAGGAGGATCCCAAGTTTACAGCCAGCCTCAGCTACTTTCATGAGGCCCTAGGCAACTTAGCCTTCTCAAAATAAAAAAATAAAAAGGGCTGGGGATATGGCTCAGTGGTTAAATACCTCTGAGTTCTGTCCCCGGTATCCCCCCCCCTGCAAAGAAACAGTGTCAATAAGGACACATTGCTGTTTTTTTTCAAGTATTCTAGCTAATAAATGAAATTGTGTGATCCTGAGTGAATTAATAAACCTCATCAATGAACATCAGCCACAGCTAACTTCACACACACACACACACACTCACACACACACCAAGACGTTATGAGCTCCTGACGGAAGGACACTGCGCCTCCTGTGAAGAATCGTTGCCAAAAATTGAACCTGAATCTGATCAAGTCTCTAGATCTAATTACAGGAAATACAGAGGCAGACGCACATGTTAAAGGACCCCACAGGAATCCAGGCAGCAGATCCAGGTGGGGAGAAGGCTGCAGGACAAACAATTGGGTTTCTCCAATAGATGAACTGCAGGGCGGGGGAGGCGGGGGAGATACGTAGACCTTGCAGAAGGTGCAGGACGCATCTGAGACAGTTAAAACCTTGGGTAGGTTTGATGATGATTTTTCCAGGTATGATAAAGATACCATGGCTATTTTTTTAAAAAGATTTCCTTATCTTTTGAAAATATATTTCAAAATTGTCTTAGATGAGATGTTATAGTGTCTGGGATTTGGTTTAAAATAATCTGTTGGGAGCAGGGGATGTAGCTCCACGGTAGAGCACTTGCCTGGCATATATGAGACCCTGTGTTCCTTCCCTGGCACTGCAAACACACACACACACACAAAAAAAAAAAAAAAAAAAAAAACTCTATTGGGATAAGAGAATTAGAGTTCCAAGATAGAGGTAAAACTAGATTGTACCTGAGTTAAAATTGTTGGGCAATTTTAACAATTAGGTGACAGAGCTGGGTGGTGGATACATTATTTTCCTTTTATATAAGTTTGAAATCTTCCATATTTAAAATTTTTTTCATATTAAATAAACAAATAAACAAACTTGGCTGGGGGTGTAGCTCAGTGGTAGAGCGCTCGCATAGCTGCATGAGGCCCTGGCTTCAATCCCCAGCACCCCAAAAACACAAATAAATGAAATACAAGCTTTGGAAAGCTCCTTTTGCAAAACAGAAGGACAGCAGCGCAGGACGGGCTGTTGTGCTTCCGATGTTTTCTGTTGTCACCTCTTGGTGTCAACAACAGTGGCTTGAGTGGCATTTTCTTCTCAACACTTCTTCTTCCAAGAACCTGGCTCTAAACCGCCTGAGCAGGGTGGGGAGGGGCCGTGTGCCATGCGCCACCGACCCCAATTGAGAGGACCCCCAACTGATAGGAGCCCAGATGGATTTGGGTCCCAACTAGGCAGCCCACGTGGCGGCCCGAGGCAGGGATGCTGTCAACCCGCCCGGCAGGCTTCTCTCGGGCGTGCACAGCACTGGGACCCTGACAGCTGGCAAAGATCTGGTCACCGTCCACGGACAAGTGCATCTGCATGGAGGAGGAGCCTGGTCTCTGAGAGGTACGGCTCCAATGGCAGATCCACCAGCCAGTCCCTCTGTGACCCTGAGCATGTGCTTCCACTCTCGTGAGCCACAACTCCCCGTCTGTAGCCCGGGCACAGTAGCAGTCCCTTCCACTAAGGCTGTCATGAAGATTCAGTGACGCTGTAGAGGGCTGGGCCCATCCAGCACACCGGCTCCTTTCTGCGCTGCTGCTGTCAATGTCACCACACGGCCAGAATACAAAGGAGGGGAAATTTCCCCCAAGTCTTTCCTGGATCCGAGTCCTCACTCCTTCCTCACCCTTCCTGGCTTAGTCCTGGAGACAGAGGGGTGAAGGGGGCAGGGAACCCCCTCTCACCGTGAAGGAGAGATGGCTGAGGACGTGGAAGAGGTGGACCTCAGGCTTCTGGGAGGAGGTGACATTTGCACGGAGTCAGGCAGGATGAACAGGAGGAAGCCGGGAGAGTGGAGACAGCCTCCCCTGCTAGGGGACAGCCACTCCAAGAAGCTGAAATGAGAAGCAGGCTCGGCGAGGCCCATGGAGAGCAAAGGGGAGGGAGGCAGAGACGAGGCCAGGGAGAGGCCATGGGGAGGATGCTCCTGGGTCTGGAAAAGCCCAGATGGCCGGCTCTTCCAGGGGGAACTGCCAGGCAAGATGGTGTGGTCTGCAGCCGGATGGAGGCCGGGCATGGCGGTGGGACTTCCTGGCTTTCTGCCCACTGGGAATGGTGGCCGGGACGCCTGGATCGTGCAGAGCTCCACAACAGCCCCTCACACCCGCTTCTGAGGCTGGTGACAGGTCAAGGGCAGCAGCTCGGCTGCTCAGTGGCCTTGGGCAAGGCTTTTCCTGTCTGTACAGTAATGGGCCCCATGACAGTTACTCACGGGGTCCTCTTGGGGTCCCGTGAGGTCACTGACGGCAGAGGCTTCACCTAGGACTGGGTAGAGCAAGTCCCCAGTAAAACTTGGTTTACTATCGCTGTTGTTGTCTGCAGCCTGTCCCAACTCCAGGCTGGACCGTTCAGGGACAGACCCTACTGCTGAGCCCGGGCTGGGGGCTGTGCTTTTCTGCATACATGTGCATCTTGCCCTCACAAGAGCCCCTCCTTCCACAGAGGGTCCAGCGGGGTTGCTCGGGGGACACATTCCAGAAAGAATAACTCTGTGTAACATGAAACCCTGAATCTGGAAACACAACCTCTATGGGAAATTGGAGGATAAGGTCTGCTCCGCGGACCGCCCAGCCTCATTCCATACAAAAGGGATATTGAAACCCAAGGGCCTCCTCACTTGGCCTCCCGCCTCAGGTCTCACCCCTCAGCACAGCCACAGAGATCTTCCTAGAAAACAAACTGCCTGCCCAAGGGCATTCCCCTCAACCTGACCTCCAGGGCCCTGTGGTCAGACTCCCGCCCGGACCTGCAGCCCCGCTGCAGCCTGGCAATGACCCAGCCACACAGACCTGCAGCGGATCCAGTTCTTTCCAGCCTCAGAACCTTTGCACATCCTCTATTAGGTACTGACTGTTCTTCCAGATTCAAAAGACCACAGGCCTTGCTGAACCCCCCAATAGTAACAGAAGTAGTAAAATCACCCCCACTTTCCAGCTGGGGAAACCGAGGCCGTGAGAATTACCAAGTGGCTCCTGCAACTTGGCCTCAAGCCAGGCCAGCCAGACCCCAGAATCTCTGAGACCCAAGAGGAAGCATCTGGCCATTCCTCCCATAAAACAGGGGTGTGGAGGTGGTTCAGATAAGGGGACTGAGCGAAGGACAAGGGTGGGACCAGGGTGGCAAAGAGCAGGAAGTCATCCTCGGTTCATTCAAGATCCAACCTAGCCACTCAGGGACCTGTGGACCACGGCAGGACATCTACCTCTCTGAACCTCAGTTTCTTCATCTGTAAAATGGGGCTAACTACCCACCCCACAGGCACATTCTGAGTACCAGGAATGACATCTATGAAGTGCCTGACATGTGGTGGACACTCAGCAAGTGGCACGCTGCCACCCTCCCTTGATGCATCTGGGGAGGCCACACCAGTTCAGACCAGCCCAGCCGCAACTAGACTTGCATCACCCCTTAGGCAGCCGGGGCCTGGGAACCATCCCTGCCCTGTTTTCTGTTTGGGGTTTTGTGTTTCCCAGCGTTTCCTTTGGAAAAAGTCCAGCTTCCTCCCTGCTGGAAGGAGGCAGGAGGGGACTGTTCGCGCCTGGGCCCAGGGGAGTCATGTGGGGAAGTGACAAGAGCCTGGGGTTTAGATTTAGGCCAATTGGGTTCAAATGCAGAATATGACACTCAGAATGCTGTGTGACCCTGAGCAAGTGACTTCACCTCTCTGAGGTGCTGCTTTCCTCACCTGTTACAAAGTCTCCTGATCTTTACCTCAGAGGGCACTTGATGCTGATGGAGGGACTGAGATGACGGGAGATTCCGGATGCACTCCCTAGTGTACGTACAATGACTCCTTTGGGGGACAAATTAAAGATGAGGGAAGTAGCCACAGGTTTACAGCTGGAGTTACCAACACAAATGCCTCCTGGCAAGACGCAGGAACAGGGAGGGTTTCCAGCTTGGGTGGGGTGGGGCTGTGAGCGGGGCGGGGGGCATAATTCTGCTCTAGGTTATCTGTACCTTGCTGGAAATGAAGGTCCAAACTCATCAGATCCCTGACTATTCAGGAGAAAATTTCAATTTTTCATGCAAAATGCCATGATTGAAGTATGGGAAAGAGTTCAGACTGGAAAATTCAAAACCAGGCAAAACCCATGTCTACTGACAGAGGCCCAATCACGGTTTCCTTGGTGGTGAGGGTGGGTAGTGAGCGGGGTATGTGGTGGGATTCTGGGGCGCCGAAAACCTTCTCTCTCTTAATCTGGGGCTTGCTGACGTGGGGTCATTTTAACTTTGTGTATTTTTCTACATGCATATTATACACCAAGAAGATGCTCAGATTATTGTAAAACAAATAAATCAAGACGGCAGGACCAGGAGACGGTGTGGGTGGGTCCCACCTGTTCACACCTGTGGGCTGCATCCTGGCCCCGGACCACCTTCAGACACCGAGCAGGGCACAGTGCTCTACCCTGACCCTTGGGGCTGACTCCTCTCTCTTAGTGGGCAGTCCCCTACTTTCCAAGCCACAGGGAAAGAATGCCATCCTGGCCTGACAA